ATGAAAGAAGTTGAATGTATCCTGAAGTTAAGAAAACAGAAATGCAGGCTGCAGTGGTACACTGATGTGAACTCACTGGTGTGACCTATCCAATCAGAAGGGGCTCCTGTCCATGTTTCCAGCCATCAAGGCACAACATGAAGGTGTGGATGTGTGCATCAATAATGCAGGACTACCCACGGTGAGTCTTTGCTGAGTGGAAACACAAGAGGAGGAGAAACATGATCAATGTGAACGTGCTAGTCTTGGCTATCTGAACCTGTGAGGCATACACGCCACTGAGGGGAAGGAATGTCACACTCCTGGTTACTGGTTGTACTGTGGGACCACAAGAGGCGCTCAGAGAATCAAACAGTGGCATCAAAGCAGCATGTATGACTCCTGGAGACACAGGAGACACAGCGAGTTTGCCTTCCATCATCATCATTGAAAAGGTGTTCAGAAGCAGAGGACGCAGCATCGCCACCTGGTACAGCAGCTGTACTGCACAGGACACCAGGACAGCACCGTCCACCCTGCAGGAGAACTTCGCCAGGTGGCACTAGAAACAAAAAGACCCTGATGGACATTTATCATCCTGGCAATATACTTCTCAAATGGCTTCCATGGGCAGAACCGAGAGGCTGGAGAATCTTCTACCCCCAGGCCAATAGGATGCTGAACTTTCTACCTCTAACATAACACTCAGCCCTGCCACACACACAGACACAGACGCACAATGTAGTAGTACTAGTCAAGACTAAGATTGACTCAGCTGTGTTTTTCTTTCCTCTATGAAAGGCTTTTTGATGGACATTAATTGCAAACTGGCCACTATTAGCCAATGACTGTCAATGACATATGGAGTGGCATCTGGGAAACATATTCTTCAGGTCACAACAAGGCAGACTGATCTGATGACTGATGACTCAAAATTCAACTTAACTTATTATGAATATTCAGTCAGGAATATATTTAAAATACAAATATACTTCAAAATACAGAGGATGTCCGACAATGTGAGTCACCAAATTGTGCAAGGTTCAAGAATTCTTTTGAGAGCAAACCTTTTCCGTCTTAGGCCTTACACAATCACTAACATTACAAGGGGTCCTCGGTTTACGACGACCTTCCTTACACAATCACTAACATTCCAAGGGGTCCTCGGTTTACGACGACCTTGACACACAGCGTCTGTGGTAACCTCGCTGCGGGAACCTCATCACATTAATTAAGAAAGTCTTATTCTATCATCTCGACGTGTGGCATTAAACAAATTCTGCACAGGAAGTAGTTAGCGAGCAAAGCAGAGAAAGTTACAGAGTTACATCGCACCGTACGAAGACACTCTGATGTAAGTGGAGGACCCCCTGTATATGTACAGTATATTACATATGTGCTTCCTTTTGTTTGTCTCGGTCCCGCAGCTGTCCGTCATTCGTTTCTTACATGCATGATCCAGCAACTTCACCTTTTGTACAATCCTCTCCTGTATGCTGAACCCTGGCAAGAAAATCTGTGTGAGTGTTAACCTCAAGAAAAACAGAAGTCATTTAGATTTTCGAGTAAGAAGAAATTGCTTTTTAATAACACTCTGTTATTAGATGCAGAAAAATAAGACACAGGGAACAGAGTGTTTTATTAGCTCAGCTGGGAAAGACTCTCGCCAAGAAAGCGCATTTTGCAGTTGGTGATGTAAAACAGCTTTTGGCAAACCGGTCACATTTCTGGGACCTACTTGCAAAACACCTGCCATCACCACCAATTCTCAGCCTTGGCCCAACATAATTACATTTTTGGTCCTTTTTTGCTGATCCGGACATCGGCTTCAGGCTCAAAAAAATTGCAGTCAGTGCTTCTTGCAGCACTGGCAATCATAGTGAATTAACACAGTCCAAACCCTTGGTGAATTTCTAAGACCTGCCTTATCGTATGTTGAAATTCCCTAGTAGAATGATGGCTTTGACTGATGGCCTTTTGTCATTTGAACTGTTGGTTCAGATTTGTGACAATCCCCATTTGGTTAGTCATTAAATACTTCAGATTTGTCTTATTTTTCAATATAAAGTCCCTCCTGAACTGCCGTGTGGTGACGTGTTGGTCACAAAACGACCAAAAAAACAATGTTAACTGTCATAGATAATTTGGCACATTTGAAATCAGTCGCCATCTAGTGGTGTCAACAGAAATTACAGTCGATATCTTGTAAATCATGAAACAGAAGGATTACTATAATTTGTAGTGGTATTTGGCGGGCTGGATCAGAAAGCCCAGTGAGCCGTATCTGGCCTATAGGCTGCAGTTTGCCCAAGTCTGAACCAACCAATGAAGCCATCTGGCAGGCCATAACTACCCAGCATTTCACCCGGCCATCAGTGTGAGGGACCAAATAAAGGACCAAAGAGACATTCACTGAATGTATATTATTGTTTTATTCCAATGTCTGCATCTGCTGGGAAGGAAAAGACACAACAAGGAATTTGTACATAATATCAACAATACAACATAGTATAACATTTTTAAATTTACCAATTACCAGAATACCTTTTTCTTAAACTGTAAGAGTTCAATCTCCAGTTTCAGTTTTTTAATTTCCAGCTCCTTTTTCACATTGTCCAGCTCCAGGTTCCTCTTGAACACCGCTCCGAGTGTATCTGTAGTCTGGATGAATGACTGTGGTTGACAGGACACTGGGATGTTTTTACAACACTTTTACTTTATCTCAGACATGACTCGTTTTAATCTGCATGTTTCCTTTTAGCTGAAACATTTCCTACAACACTTACCTTTTTTTCATACCCTAGTTCAGACAAAGAGGCCGTGGGCTGAGGGGAGTGGTGTAGGTCCTCTTCCTGTGAAAGACATTCACCACTAAGGTTACTTCATCAAGTGTACTTCTGTGATGAGTTGAAGTATTATGTAAAAATAAACGTACTTTCACAGGCCTCTCCGAAAACACAGAGACCTCTTGGTCATCGACTTCAGCCTGAAGAATGATTTCAGAGATCACATGGACTGAACACAGCAAACACAGCGGAGTACCCGACACATCGCTGTGATAGTTACCTTTAGGGTGGAGTCACAGGGAAATCGTGCTGACGGCAGCAGCAACATGGTGTCTCCCACAACTGAAATTACACAGTGGGTTTATCTGGCTGATAAAGCACACAAAAACATTAAAAAAGTACTTTACATACCATGAAGTAGCAGGTTATTTTGTGTGCCAGTACTAGGGTCCATCCCGAGCCCCCCCTCAGTCCCCTCTATAATTGGGCCGACCCTCGATCGAGCCTCATTGTTGGAGAGGCACGGCTCCTCTGGAGCTGTGGATCCTACTGTGGATTCTGGAGGAGCTGGCTCCCCTCCAGTCTTCCTCTTCTCTTTATTTTTCCTGTTGGCTTAAGACAGTGATCATATTTTAAAATAAGGCCACAGCATATTAACCCACAAAGTGACTAAATGATGGGGCAGCTTAACTACATACCACTTTGGATGATGTTTTTGTGCTTGGCTCTGACTTGCTGCCATGTCCGACAGCTGCTTCCACAGCTAATAAAACACAGTGAAATATTAATTAGGCTGACCTAGTATTTATTTGTCACAGATAATGAGTAAAGTTAACGAGTTCACTTTAATTTTACCATGAACAAAAAACAAACAAACTGGTTAACTGGTCAACGTTTTACCTGTTATTAACAAATAACAATAAAAACACTGAACATTTAAACTCACACTCACTCACATTCTACAATTGAAATCAGTAAAATACATAAAAAAATAATGAAGATATCATTCGGAAATGAAAAAAAAAGACAGTTGTTAATTAAGTATTTTTGTTTAAAAGACAATGTTTCAAGTGCAAAAGTTGCGCAAAGTAGAGCTTTAATTGATTCAAATTGGTGTTAACTTACGCATTTACACGATCAGCAATCTTCTGCCAGCACTCCTCTCTTGCCTTGTTGGCGGCGACAGTGTTACTTTTGGCAGTGATTGTCTTCCTATATTCCTCATAACTTTGCATTATGATATCCTGCTCCTCTTGTGTGAAATATATTGCCCGGCATCGCTCCATTTTGCGCGGACGTAGAACAATACGACGTTAAACGACACCTTCGGTGTGAACGCGCACAGAGCACAAAGCTGAGAACCGGACGTGACATAGCACGCTGATAACCACCGACGCCATACCGTTTAACTGCGACGCGGGCTTTAGGGTTTGTTAAGCCAGTCCATGAACACAAAGCCTGGGTTTGCTGAGCCCTCTCCGCGGTGCGGGCCTGCGTGTGCGGTGTAGCGTTTCTGAGTCGACGGTGAGGAGGAAGGGGAGGGGCTTATAGAGAGCACAGCACTCACGAAGAGTCAGGGAGGGAGTCAGGGAGGGAGTCAGGGAGGGAGGGAGTCAGGGAGGGAGGGAGCGAGACGAGCGCAGTCACAGAGGTGGAAAAAATTAATGAAAACATGTCACATGACTAGTGACCAGAAGAGGGCAGCCACTCCATGTAATTTACTCGACATCTTTGTCCCTTAATGGTAGTAATTACAATATTTAGGTCACGTTGTGTAAAACTAAAGTCATGAAATTTGTCACAAAACGTTATGAAAAATACATTATATATTTAAGTTGTTAAATGGCCAGTATTTGTCATGTGTATCAAAGTATCAGTACAGAAGAAAATGGCAAAAAAGTCACTGGTATCAAATAAAAAGATTCTGGTATCCCCAATAGTTTACGGTAGAAGATGTTCAATGTATGCCAAACACAAGTTTTTATTTTATTTTTGAGAACTAGATAAAGTAAGGGTTGTTGGCATATAAAACTTGATGCTCAAAATGATTCACAACCAACACCCTCGTAGGACGATAACAGTTCCTGCATCTGTCTTTTTATCTTCCAGAGGACAATAGTCCAAATAATAGAGGATGTTCTGTAAACATAAAAAGGTGCCTCTTCACAGATTAAAGAAAATATCTCCAGAGAACAAGAAAGCACAACCTGATACTAAACTGAAAGAAGAGTTGACAAAGTAAATCAAACACTCCAGACACACTGAGTGGAAGTGGAGATAAATATGGGCACAGTTGCTCAATTACTGTACGTCCACCACAGAGCAGGTTCAGAGGAAACATCCGGTTCCTTTAGATGTTCTCACCGTACTTGACAGTTACAAAACTGGAGAACATTACAGGAGGAGCAGGAAAACAGGAAAAGCTGAAGTTTGATAACCTCAAAACGTGAGGTCTTGTGGAACTATTGATCGTTTATTTGTTCATCATTTGATTAGTAATGCCTCAGAGGATCCAGCAGGGGGCCTATGCTATTTCTTTACCTTATTACAGTTGGGTGACAGAAAAGCATAGCTTTTTGTATTTTATTTAAGGTAAGGTTTCTTTATTCAGTTCAAATTTGACTTGTTTGCTTGTCTTTTTGTTGTTCTTTGTGTTTAAGAGAATTATTGAGCGGTTGAAAGTATTGCTTAACTGACAAAAATGTATGTTAATGTGAAATGTTTGTAGCAGCGGCTAGCCGGGCTAGCCCAAATGTGGTCTTGTTTTCAGGGAGGGGGTTCAGGTTGTGTTGAGAGACGGTTTCTCCAGATTAACGTAGATGTCTTCCTTCACCCCTCTCTCAAACCATCTGTCTTCTCTGGTGAGGACATGTACATCCTCATCCACAAAGGTGTGTCCTTTGTCCTCCAGATGAAGATGAAGAGCTGAGTCCTGCCCTGAGGAGCTGGCTCTTCTATGTTGTTGAATACTCTTGTACAGTGGTTGTTTGGTCCTCGCTGCATATTCAACATTGCTCTGTTTGTGGTGAGGTATATGTTTTTTTTGTTTTAAAAAGCATTGGCATTTTAAAGGCTCTACATTGGTGTGTGGGTTTTTCTGTACTGTTAATTGTCAGCACTCATATTGTCATTTCTTCTAGGACTGCCCGACGCTTGTACTTTTCACCTGTTTCCATCAACCCGGAACAATTTAATGAACTTTTCGTTGGTGGAGCAGTGACCCTCTATGTGGAAGACACACAGACGGGACAAATGGCAGCAGCAGCAGCAGCAGCAGGGATTTAGCGACGAGCTATGACCTATTTATTTGACAAAAATATACTCTCTCACAATCAAAATAGATGTGCTGCAACGAAAAAGAACCAGACTTCGGCAAAACAACGTCCTGTGCTCCACTGAAACCTGACTTAGTGGGCTCACCCAGGCCTCGCAGTTGCACCTTTGGGGAAGAACAAAGAAGTTCATGTCTGTTTCTGTATAAATGATAGAGGATGGACAAAACATGATGCCCTCACCTGACTTGGAACCCTTTGTTCAAAGTGGAAAGTCCTGGACGAAGGTGACTGGGCTCATAAATAACCCAAGGCAGAGATGTCCAGACTCCCCTTACTGTTTAGGAGGGCTTTACCAGAGCATCCCCACATCTGAACCACCCAAATAAAAACAGCAGGAGAGAGCTTTCTCGATCTCTGTCTCTGATCGCTGAATTGTCTATCAACTCACCACATAAAGGCCAAAACTAGAAATTGCAAAGCCTGTGGTCAAGTTGAAAAATGGCCTCAAACTGCAGCCCATCTTTGACTACACTGCGGTATTTTTTGAGGCTGTCAGTAAGCACCTGTCGACACTGTGATATCTTAATATGGATGACTCAATCCGATACTCAGGCTCCAGGTCAGTAACGATCCAAAATTGGTCAAAATTTCAGGATTGAACATGAAAAAACAACAATAGCGGTATTGGCAGATACTTCGCAGTATCAGTATCATGAAGATGTATGGAGCCATGTCTATATCTTACATCGACTTTTGTGAAGGAATGTTGACAAAAACATTTTGTTACTCTTTCATGTTAGTCCATTCATGTTAGTTTCTGAAACATATATCCAGCCCAGTCCTCCACTCAAAGGATGCTATCTCCCCAGCGAGTGAAGTGAAAGTGAGTTCTACTAACAATAAGCAGCTGTTCATTTAATCTTTTTGATCTTTCTCCATGCTATTGTGCAAACAGTTTGACTATTCTAGTAATTAAATGTGTTAATTAAAAAAGTTTTTTAAAAAAAGTGCTTTTTAGTTTTTCATTCTTCGTTGGAGCAGAATTGTGTTTTCATTAAACAGCTCAATTCATTCATTCTAAATCTACTGTACGTGCGACCTCTGTAAATAAGACTAAGACCTTTCTGATTGGTAATTAAAAAAGAGCACAAGACTATGATACAGTTTCTATCTTCATTTGGTCTAAAACGGATGAAGCTCAACTGAAGATTGTAAATACAGAAGGCCTGTGGGTTGAGGCAGCCAGAGTACGGCAGCGTCATGATAAAGCATAATTGGCTCTTGTGTATTATCCCAGGTTTTGCCTTTCTTTAATGAATGCACATTATTGGAAAACATAAACAATTGTATCATTTCCGAACCACAGCTGTTGCTGTTGCTGTTGCTGCCCTGACTCACTCGACACCGTCATATCTTCTGTACCTGAGGCGCTACACCTCCTCTGTATGAACGACCTCCTGTTTATTCATTTCCATAGAATCCGAGGAAGGGGTGAGATATACTCACATACTTGGGTTCTTTTGATATACTGTACAGTGAAGAAGACGTGGGAGAGATAAAAGGTTTCCCCATGAAATCTGTGATTCTACTTTACTTTTTCTTACCACACGGAGCTGGGAAACTGGAGGAGGACTTTTAATAATAGAAGGGGAGAAAGAGATAAATGTCAATATTTTTGTTAAATCACTTTATGGGCCATATCATGTCATCTAAAAAAAGCCTTAAACACGCATGAAACCCGTTGAAAATGCATTTACACCGCGTTACAACCTGAGAGAAGAACAGCCTTTTACTCTGTTCTCTCACAGAGGAGCAGCTTCTGCCTGCTAAAGGTTCAATACGCTTATTAAAGCTGTTATTTCTGATGAAGGTCAAATTACGTAAGTGAATTATTGTGTTGTACTATTCAACACATCTGGATTGTTTTTAACAATGTGGATATAAAGAGGTATCAGGGCAACAGAAGCTAGTGGATGACCATCTGTCCCAAACTGTTGGATTTAGAGGAGAAAGGTATAAGAAAGAAAGGATAAACAAAGGCATTTTTAAACTTTTAAAACAAACACTACCATTGTATTATAACTACTTGACATCATCATTAAATTAGCTCCTGCATATTTGCTGGAAATGTAACCTTCCTGCTTTCATAATTTTATAATTAGCATTAGCTTTTTTTAGTTTCTTTCATGTGTTGGTTCTATTTGCCGTACAACTGACGAATGCTGCATTAGCTTTTTTTTAGTTTCTTTCATGTGTTGGTTTTTTGGAAATTATGACTTTTCTAAAGTTTTTATGTCCTACATAATGCTATCACCACTGGGTTAATGTAGGTGAGTGACATAAGTACTAGTGAGACAGTATGTGAGTTATGTCGTACCATAGGAACAGAACTCTGATGTAAGTCGAGGACCCGTGTATTTATACCCATAAAGAATCTTGGACTTGATTTGACGTATCCTGTGACTTGAGTGGACTTGGGACGCCCTTCCTTGAGAATTTCCTAAAACTTTATTTTATTGATTCAATCCTATCTCTGACTTCCTTAATTAACAAAACAATACCAAGAATATCAACGCACGCTGACTTATTGTCATAACAATTTTGAATATTAATGACATTATTTTTATTATTATTTCTGTTTGTTTTCCCCGCTTTAGTGAAGATGTTTTAAACGTATGTCTTGATGTTGTGTGAACTGTCCACATGCACGGGGTTCACCACATTAAACACGTTAAATAATGCATTCCAACTTTGCGTGATACGAACATCACACCTGCTTTTTCAACCCTACATGAAACCCCTCCCTCGTCCCCCTCCTCACAACCTCAGCTGGTCACAACCACTGGAAGGCCTGGAATCACCCAAGTGTGTCCAGCTGAGACCACAACCCACTGCTGTGTCAGTGGAAAGACCTGGTGTACAAGGATTGAAGGGTACATTATCACTGGTGTGTGAATGCAGCTGGAGTCACAGCAGCTATGACTCACAGCCCAGCCACCTGAGCAGCACACACACGCGAAAATGCACAAACTTCACCACAATTACAATAATAATACAAAACGATCCATAAAACAAAGAAATAGTAGATGATGAATAACCCAGACCATCTGGTACCTGGTGTAACACACACACATGAATACTTCAGTCACCTCCTTATGAAGGCTTACAAAGGTGAGCTTCAGATGTGTTTTGGAACATTTGGCTTTACTGCATCCTATGATGTAAGCAACGTGTCATCGGAGAGAAAAGGAAGGAAGTAAGGTGGTGTGTGTGTGTGTG